ATAAGAAAATGTCAACAAGGTAACCTCACAACTTAGCATGGCCGCCACACAGCGTACGGGTAAGACTTTGATGAAACATATAGCTAAATAAAATTACACTGACTTTGGGAGCAAATATCAGCGGCCGTAGGCTCAGAAAAGTGTATTCAGGCATAATTTGCATAAAATACCAATGAAACTTTCACTGGTGTTCGAGGTTCCACCATGTATACATTTTTCTTATAGTTATCATTTACAAATTTTTGCATACCTAGATTTTATAAAATTTGAACAATTTATAAAATTATAAAATTTGCAGTCCCTGGAATTTTTCTCTATAATAAGTAAAAAATCCATTATGTTTAGCATTAAAATTATAACGGGAGACATAAAATAATCGATAAAAAAATCTGGAAGGTTTCAGATTTTAACGGTCGCCAAAACGGTTTGTTAAAGTTCTTTTACGCTCTCGGTTTAGTTCTAAGACATTTTCTTCCCACCTATGCCATATGCAATTCAGCAGCAAAACCAGAAATTTTTATTTAACAAAATTTAGAATTACCCATGCAGTGTTAAGCGATGGCAGACATTTTAATATTTTTTCACTCTTTTCCCAGTTCATCAAAGCATTCAGTTTCGTATAACAGATATCAATTTCATCATAGCGTTCAGTTTTCCTTAGTAACATGGCTAGCAAAAATATTTCTTTTTTGTTTTTATCATTAGCATTTCGTGTGTTCACTTTATTTCTTAAATATCATGATCTTCGAACTTACGCCACATACAATCAATTCAATAGCAAAATCAGCAGATATTTAAAAAGAGCGTATCTTTAGAATTTTCGACAGACAGTCTTGCGTGCTGGAGATAAAAATGTTTTACTCCGTACAGTGTTGCTACTGCTCGCTTTCAAATCTTTGAGTTTGTTAATCAAAAACTGATTAAAATTTTACAATACATGAAATAGATAATAAACACCAATTCGAAATTTAAGTTCGGGCTTCCAGGGCCCATATTCGGGTAGAGGACTACTTTATTCAAAATTTAATTGCTTTAGGTACTGTCGTTTTTTCACACTGCGAAAAATATTCATATATTCATGCAGATTCTTCATTACTTAATTTCTTTAAAAATAATACAGGACAGGAACAAGTAAAAGAGGCACTATATCATCGCTATGAGTAAACATGGTATTGCCCCGGTGTACTACCTTTCCGTATTTATTGAGAATTAAACAAGGTGACATGCAATCATACAGATGTTATACATTTGGATATACAGAGTTGCATATTGTTGCATGTTAACAGGTAGGTGAGATACAATAAAGTTCGTAATAATAAATAGATACAATATCATGGTATGGAGGTAAGGCACAAATATGAATGAAGACTGAAAGCACGTTAGAAGTGTGTGTTTGGTGAAGATAACAATGGCACTCTGAAATTATTGCAGAATGAGAAGATTGGAGATTAAGGGTGGCACATGTTGAGTCCTTGTCTATGGAGGTAGTCGATGATATTCTTTATCTGACTGAATGTTTTTCGATGCTTGATTAGAAATCGCCTGAATTCTAGACCTGGGTTGCCTGGATGACGGTTATGGTGAACAGATGTCATAAAACAATTGAAGATGTAGTGCTCTGTGTCCCCGTTGCTTCCGCAAATAGATCTGTCAGAGGAAGCTTTGTGTCTTTTGTAGAAGTAGAGTAGAAATGGCCCGAGATGTACTGGGAAAGGAAGTAGGATGAAAAAGTGACGTTTTCATGTACTTTAGGGAGGAATTCATATGTTCGTCTTCCTTGTTGTCCGTGGTCCCATTGATGTTGCCATTGTGGGGTTGCAAGTTGTTTGAGCTTGCATTTCAATGCTGACTTTGGCCACGGGATAGAGATTGGAGTGCCTATTTGGTGGATAGCTGCGTCTTTTGCTAAGAGGTCAGCGCTTTCATTTCCTGCACAAGCGCTGTGACATCTAGTCCGTGATATTATAAATTTGTTGCTGCTGTTGAGTATTAAATCCTGAACTAGATATGCAATTGGAAAGTTTGGGAACTGTTGTTTGATAGGACAGATAGATGACTGGCTATCAGTAATCACATGAATGGTGTGCGTGTGTGTTGGTAGGAGTAGCTTGATGTCATTCAGTATGGCTTGTAAGCTCAGCTTCGAATACGCTGTTTTCGTGTCTAAGGACACATTGCCATTCAGTGTAGGTACTTGTCCCAGAATTAAGAGTGACACCACAGCCTACTTTGTCCTCTATCTTCGATCCGCCAGTATATGCTGTTAATTTAGTAGATGGTGGAGGATTGTTGAGGTTGCGGTACAGGTTATGAAGAAAGTTACTCGGGTGTCTAATGTATTTCCGTGGTGTATCCTCGTAGTCTTGTGGATTGAAGATGATATCATCGTAGCTTGCAGATTTTTCAGCTGAAGAATTTTGGAGAACAGTGCTTCAATTTCAGCTTGAAGTGGCAAAGGAGTCACACCTGCCAGAATTTGTAGGGCGCTGGTGGAGGTTGTTTTAAATGCACGGGTGATGTTAATTAATAAATTCAAAAATAATACAGAGTGATAATATTGTGTAGCAACAATTTGCAAAGTGATACGCCATTTATAGTGATTCAATGCAATATCCCGTTTTGAAACTAATAGCCCGCTTGGGCTGATTCCCCTTTGGGCCTAGTAATAATCAATACATAAAAAATATCATTTTGTACCGAGGTACATATACTATTAGGAATTAAAGGCATTCTCCCATGATGGCTTGTGGTGTACTCAGCATAACTATATTGCATATAAAGATACGTGGTTTAGACTTTTGGAGAAGGAATAATTGATTTTTCGTGTTACTATTTCCGAAAGGAAAAAAAATCTAATAATTTTTGTAGTATACGGCGATATAAACATGTTCTTTTAAATACAGTAATATTCCAAATTTCATGAAATTTCTTATCGATTTAGTTAGTTATGGCAAAGTGATGCAGGTATATCTATAGAAAGAATGCCTTTCTAAGTAAAGGAGGATTTTCTAAGTAAAGCCGCTTGTATTCATATTACACATATAAAAAATTATGAAAACGCTCACGCAACCAGCTCGTTCACCACAATTCGAACCTGGGACAAATTACCAGTGTCCAACTGCCATAAAATCAGAAACGCGGTTCTTTACTGTAGTACGTAAAATGTAATGTTAAAAACATCTTTCATTAATTACAGTAATACTGCCTACCATCCTAATTGTACGTCGGATATAATAAGTACATTTTAAATTAAATGAATTATTAGTGAAATCAAACGATTCCTTCCGAAGATATCATGTACGAACTTACAAAGAGCATTTGTTACCTACACAAACGCTGTAAATGTTTATAATTATTAATTGGATATGGAAATTCAATGTATTTAGAAATTAAACGTATTTTTAATCATTGCAATATTTTTAAAGAAATAAAATAAAGATTTAAATTATTAAGAATTTCATTAGTTCATTAAATTTGCTTTCAAATAATTGAGCTTGATGTTGAGACTTACATGTGACGAATAAATTAAAAGATCTTATGTCACACGAAATGGCAACACTTTGAAAAACAGCCATCTGAGGGAAAGAGAAGTTACAGCTTATATATCGTACAATGGCACCACTTACTAAGTTACATCTGGCAGAGTAACATAACCGCGCAAAACATCTGTAAAGACTCCGCTAAAGATGTTTCTAACGTCTAAACAAAATAAACAATTTATAGTTAGTAAGAAGCGTATTTATAGCTTTTAAATCCCTCAGTTTGTCAAACAGCTGTATTTTAGAAATTAAAATAAAAATCTTACACTCTGGCAACTGGCCATGTGTAGACTGTATAGGAAATAAAACATTTTATGTCTCGTACAATGGCAACGCTCGCTAGGTTGCATGTATGACGTAGCCTAATTTAATAAATGAAAAAATTATAAAGACTATATTATTCTAGCCTTTTAGTATCACTAGCATATGGAAAACATAAGCCTGTGACAAAATCAGTATTAGGCCACAAAAAAATAAAAAAGTAACTAACATGAAATCATAAATCTCATTACAGATGAACAGATTTCTCAATAATGATTAATACGTGTATGTTAGAACTTGGCAAAATTCAACTTTACACTGACGTTAGTTATCGTAGAAAAACTATATGCGTTTCGAGGAATCCTCTCTTCTCTCTATATATATACTTTTCTATATAAATAACGTCGCTCTCAGTCTGAATATTAATTGCCTTTAAATTTTAAACTAAAGTGATTCTTTTTCGTATTTAATTATAATATTAATTTATTTTATATTTTTGAAATAAGATGTACATTCATATATTTATCATTTCTTATTTTATTATCATATAGGCTGTTATATATATATATATATATATATTTCATGAAAGTATAACGCGAAAATATTCCATTTACCATTTATTAGAATTTACGAAAAACATCAGTTTTGCACATTAATTACACGTTACATTAATTAAAGGAAAATTATCACAAGATGTTAATATGGAATAATAAAATATAGCTTACGCAAATAAATAATATATTGCTCTCTATGATAAACAATAATAAAATTTTAAATAGAGAAGATCATAATTTGAAAAAATTGAATTCATGATTACAAAGAAAGCTTTCTGTAATAATGAATATTTATTAGTATAAAAATATATAGCCCTCAAGTTTTATTAATAAATTTAAAACTGCAGCTTTTCCAACCGGCCCCCAATAAATCCTGTCTCCTTTGATACCTATTACCTAGCACCTAGCACTAAAATACCAGACGACTATCCTGAAAACCATTCATAAGTTCATAAATAACGTACATGTATCAATCAAGAATTATTATAACGAAACAAAATTCCTATTTAAGATGTCAAAACATCTGAACTTCAGTTTGGTTCTTCAATGTATACAAACAAATAATTTGTTATAATTATGCAATACAAACGGTTTTAACAGTGGAGTATAATTGCATCATTTAATTAATGAAAAGAAAGCACTTTACCTTTAAAAAAGAAAGCTCCTAATGCAGTTTTATTGTTTAAGATCTTGCTATGGCACACGGATGCGGTTGGTTTTGTTTTTTTTCTTCGACTGGTGTGGTTTGAACAAAGCTATCAGCTGATAGATGACTGAGCGGTGCATAGAACGGTAACGTGGAGAGAAAGGTTCTCCTCTGCCTCTAGCATCTCTCGATGACGTCACGCTGATGCGTCACTTGTGTTGCGCGGAGGCCAACTTGCTTGTTTCTATGCAGAGGGGCTTCAATACCTTGAGGCTTATCGCTTTTTCTGGCGATCATAAAATGCATCGAATAATAAATTTCTAATTAATAAAAATTCCATGAAATTAAATATATTGATGAAATGCATTAAGACTGTTTCAAAAATAAATATATGTTTTTTCCCTGAGCATTTAGACTTTATCAAACAGAATAATTTATTTTTCAATTGTTAATGAAGGTTACATTCTAACTGATAAGTCAGGTACTATTCGTGATTTTACATTTCATAAACAGTTTCACTTACATCACGCCAGAGCTATTAAATGAAGTCATTACCAATAACGCATAGGCATAATAACTCCCATAGTATAAAAATAATAATTTGATTATCAGCAGTGCAGAATTTACGTATAAAGCTATACAAGGTATAGCTTAGGGCCCAAAAAATTAAAATATAGTATAACGGGATAAATAGCTCCATATCTCAAATAGCTTAGAGCTTTATCAAATCTAAATCCGGTTCTAATTATCAGTATGAAAACTTGAATCCTTTAAAATTTTATGAAATATACTTAAAGTTTGTAACTATGATTGACTGTTTACAACGTTACCGGAAAAAAAATTGCTAACGCGATATATAATGTATTTCAATCAAATAATTTGTAACACTAAAATCAAAACTAGGTGTTATAGCAGTCCCATATACAAAATTTCAATGTTCTATAACTGATTGTTTTTTAATTATGCGAATTATTTGTATACATACGTACATACGCAAAGAACATACGTACATATGTACGTACAAACGTAAAAAGAAATCCATTTTGAATCCGGTTTAAATTCAGTTTGCAATCCGTTTTGGAAAAACGAGTCCTTTATCCTGGCCGTACGTACAGATTTCATACAAAAAATCGTCGTAATGGATTCGAGATCTGTCTAAATGACTATTTCTATTGAAAATACCCGAAGTTTTTCGCAATTACAATACTTCCTTTACTTCGTACAACGAAGTAAAAAAAGGGAATATAAAATTCTGTAAACCTATACAATGTGTCACAAAAGTATATGTATACTTTTACTTTCCGAAAAAAATTACTGAATTTTGGATGCACTGTACTTTAATTACAAATATAGGTTTCAGTTTAAGTATAAGTTTACCTAAATGCTTTTCCTCAAAATAAAACATCGAACTCAAAAATAATTACCTTTTCTTTCGAGTGGAAAAATCTCTCTCCAGTATGATCGAATATATAACGGTATATTAAGTAAAAATCAAACGCTCTATTTTTGAACATTTGTTTTCTAAGATTTGGAGCGCTCAAATTTGCTTTCAAAACATTGTATCTTTCCAGCATGGATTCAACTAGACTTTTTTTATTATTTCTAGCCTGCCTTTTTCTCCGGTAAATTTGGATTTAAAATTTAGAGTTTTAATATAATGAAATACTGTGTTTATGAACTATATATTCCAGGACATACCCGATGTGTTTAATAGAATTTAAATCTCAATATAGATGAGGTGTTATGAATATTTTAGGAAATTTAAACAGCATCCAAAACTGCGCATTCCTAAAAGAATGTTTGGACTCTTCCTTTGTTAGAATATGGAATAACTTAAGGGTTTAAGATTACGTAACGGCGATTTTAAATTAGCAAAGTATTTGTACTGATAATTTATACTATCAATAAACTTAAGATTATGATTTTAAAGAGTAACATACATATCTTTTATAACATATCAATAACATATCTTTTTCATCATGTTCTACTCTAGTAATTAAGTTCAGGATTTGTGAGAATTTACCAAACTTTATTTCATAGGCAGAAATTTCAATTTTTGTAGAATTTGAGAAAGAAAATGCAATTTTTTTGTCTTTCACTGATGTAATTTTTCCTTACTAATATATTCAGTACATTAGATTACTCTTTTAATATCTCTCATTTAACAAATGCTTCACATATTTAAAAACGTTATTGCACATTTGAGAAACACACACTCTTATGTTATATAAACACTTTTCACAATATTGAGTTGTACGGCACAGAATAGTTTTGATGATCTCCCATTCTTTTATTTTGATTTCTGTCATACTTTTGGATAAAACTTTCTAATAATAATAATAATAATAATAATAATAAATTCTCTATTTAAATAAACCATATCAGCAATTTTTCTAATAGGCCTTTCTTCTTTTAATGATCAATTAAAAGTATTTTACAAATTTCTAATCGTATCTACTTTCTTAAAGCAGATATCAGTGCTGAAAATAACTCAGATTCTAAGTAAATTCAGAATTCAAGAAAACGATTTTTTTAGTTTCTCTCTTTTTCTCTCTAGCTTCAATGTAAAATAATGTCATGAATTTACATATGTATTTATTATGGGCCTTTTTGTTTGCAGCTCAGTAGTATCCGAAGACTTGAGTTAATTTTTAAGCTTAATATTTTATTTTAACACATATTTAGCGTAAAGAAACAGATAAATGCATACTTCATGATTTCAGTTTAAAACAACTGAATGTTTTACCATATATCGTAGCTAAAAGAACTGAAACAGTGAGACATTAAAGCTGCAATTATTCTATATGTTTCTTTATTTTTTAATATTACTTACATGGTATGTAATTTTTAACAAAAGTGTTAGCAGTCTTTGTTTTGCACCCTATTTTATTCAAAATAGAAATACAGAAAAAACCTGAAACGTTTCAAAGTTAAATATTGGTTTAAGTTCAGAATGAAAGTATATAGTAACACAACTGGCTTGTTTACGAAATATTTGCAACTTCTCAGTAATCAGGATTTTTTATGCTCATTTTCCCTTTGTTCTTAGAAGCGATATATTTGCATGACTTAATTTTACATCCTTCTGGTTCGCTTCGTAGAATTCGATAACTTAATAACTTCTGCTTAGTTTACATATTACACATATGTGTAAATAGATGCTGCTTTTAATAAAAGCAGATTAATTTTGGTTTCTTTGATTTAAATGAGAAACATTCATACAAGTAAATTTAAGCTGTTATAAAGAAATTTGCATTTTATTTTTACCCAAACGCATGAATATTTTAAACGAAAACGGTAGGATAAATTAAAGCTCATTAACTTCAACTTTTCATAATATAGGTTAGCATTGTTATGAGTAGTGAAACTTTCCCAAGAATATTACCCATATTATTAAGTATTTAAGTGGTCTCTGGAAGTCGTCATTTTTAAATAACGAGATTATCGAAGATGTTCAACATTGTTATTTAATTATATTCCCAGAATTACTGCTTATCTTCAGTGGACAGAGTGAGATGTTTCGTTGCATTTCAGGTTGAATGTTGGGAATAACTGTAGTCGAAAACTTTTGATGCAAGGAACACTTAATACTATGTTAAAGTTAAATGTAAGTGACAAAGGAGCAAATTCGGCACAGTCTACTTTATGAGTTCAGTTAAACAATTATTAACAGGAATCTTGATGCAGTATATGGGTATCGGATGATTAGCTTAAGCAGGGTCAACAGTAGTTCCAGATTGTAACCTAGAAAACGAACTCATCTTCGAAGATCTACAGCTCGACGAGGACATCCTGAAAATCCATTATGGAATAAAATTCTGTAGTAACAATAAGGACCTAGCAGGGGATGAAGGAGAGTATATTTTATATTGGAAAAGATCTCTGTTCATCTCGATTCGGAAAAATAAAAGAAATATAAGAAAATATTGCGGAAGGACTTAATATATTGACGGGCTGCCAAATATACTTTTAAATTGTAGCATTTCGCTTCCCGGAATTCATTCTTTCCTGATTAATGGATTACCAATGGATTAATTCCTTCTGGACGAAAGATGAATGTAAACTTTTCAATAGTTCCTAGTGAACGAACTCATAAACTCATAAACCCAAACAAATGAAAACCGTTAAATATAAAACAAAAGCCCCCCAAAAATAAATACAATATTAAACAGATAAAACAAACAAAAACTTAATTTTATTCTATCTGTATGAAAGAAACAGGAGGGCATAAGTGTAAAAAAATGGTTAAGTGTTTTCGTTGCGTGAAGTATTTCTTTTCATAAAAATTTTAGATAACATGTCTTTAATCTTTCCTTTGCCTTAAGCATCATTCAACTCTGTTTGGGACACATTAATTCTTTGTTTGATTCAAAATTTGTCCAAGGAAATTTTTTTGTTACCTACGCTTTAAATGTTTTTAAAGTGAAACCTGGCCTTGTCATTGAAATACTGACGCTGTAGCATGCTGTTGCTTTAACTTGATGATATACTATGGAATCCCATTCATATTCTGAGTATGCTGTTAGGCAAACTTGCAAGAGAATAGAAAATGAAAGCAGAAGTTGGAACAATCACCGTATATCAGCTAACTACATGTAAACTTTAATTACTCTGTGGCCTCTGTTATTCTACAACTAGTTAATAAACATTAGAAATGTTTCTTTTAGATGAAACAATTTTTTTTTTTTTGTCTTTAAAGAGCTCGAGAAATGCAAGTGACTTAGGAAACAGAACATAATTTTACATAACTTTGCCTAGCATGTATTTGCTTACATTCAGCTACCAAAACTCATGTTCTCCGATATTGCAAGTGAATAATATATGAACAAAATTTTTAGTCCAAAGGGGCTTTGTCTCTGAAGGACAATTGTTTTCATTTTGCGATATTTCGTTTTGCGTTGAATCACTATAAATGTCCTTTTCACTTTCCAAACTGTTGCCACTAAATGTTAGAGTCCTGTATTATATTTAAAAAAATTAAATAATAAAAAATCTGCAGAAATGTATGTATATTTCTCGCATTGTGATAAAACAACGGTACCTAGAGTCATCGAATTTTGAATGACGTAATCCTCCTACGAATATGGGCATGTGGAAGACCAAATTTGAAATTTGGAATTTGTTTTTATTATCGATTTTCTATTTTGGAAAACTTAAACGGATTTTTGAGTAAAAACTCAACGATTTAAAAACGAGCAA